CACCGGCCTATAGCGACCTCAACAATCTGGTGGCGCTCACGATGTCCGGTGTGACCACATGTCTGCGATTCCCGGGCCAACTGAACGCCGATTTACGCAAACTGGCCGTAAATATGGTGCCCTTCCCTCGCCTGCACTTCTTCGTGCCCGGCATCGCTCCCCTCACCTCCAAGGGCTCGATGGCCTACAAGTCGCTGACTGTGGGTGAGCTGACCACTCAGATGTTCGACGCCAAGAACATGATGGCCGCCTGTGACCCCCGCCACGGCAGGTACCTCACAGTGGCCGCCATTTTTAGGGGCCGTATGTCCATGAAAGAGGTCGACCAACAGATGTATAACGTGCAGCACAAGAACAGCAGCTATTTTGTCGAGTGGATCCCCAATAACGTGAAGGTTGCCGTCTGTGCTGCGTCAAGGATCCACTCGACAAAATAGCTGCTGTTCTTGTGCTGCACGTTATACATCTGAGTGGTCAGCTCACCCACAGTCAGCGACTTGTGAGGGTATGGATGAGATGGAGTTCACGGAAGCGGAGTCTAATATGAATGACTTGGTGTCGGAGTACCAACAGTACGAGGCCTTAGAGATCGACGACGAGGAGCCCCAGGAGGAGCTCCATAACCACCATTAGTCACACCTGTGGTTCATTTTCATTGATACCATATTTTGAGTTATTTTTCTTACTTTTGATTTCCCTTTTCTCCTATAAATTCATTATATTTTTACTCATAATTGCTTTCATTGTTCTAAATTTCACTTAATATTGTATTTGTTGTGAATTTATGAAAAGTTTATGAACAAGTTTTACGAAAATATAATAAACATTAATTCCAGTTTTTAGTTTGTCTTATTTATTGACACAATTTAGTTTTTAATACCTTTTATGTAGACTAGTAAATGAAGGTTAAATCAAGTCATTTTAAAATATAAATTTAACCATTTTAATATCAGTAGTTAATGTTACATAGTTTTTGTGATATCACTTAATATTTAATTAGTACGTTAAATTATATCTTTACCTCCAATTACAGTAATGGTAATTAATTTTTATTTATTTAATTTGCAATAATATCTTATCTGCACTGACTATAATATAAATTTGTGAATTTATGAAAAGTTTATGAACAAGTTTTACGAAAATATAATAAACATTAATTCCAGTTTTTAGTTTGTCTTGTTTATTGACACGATTTAGTTTTTAATACCTTATACAGTATGTAGACTGTTGTAAATGAAGGTTAAATCAAGTCATTTTAAAGTATAAATTTAACCATTTTATATCAGTAATTAATGTTACATAGTTTCTCTGATATCACTTAATATTTAATTAGTACGTTAAATTATATCTTTACCTCCAATTACAGTAATGGTAATTAATTTTTATTTATTTTAATTTCCAGTAATATCTTATCTACACTGACTATAATATAAATAGAAATTATTAAAGATGATTTGTTTTAATGATAGCTTCAATTAAGTTTTACTGGTAATATAGTTTTAAAACCCGCCAATTGGAGTGTACTTTCATGTGTGGAGTTCATNTAATGATAGCTTCAATTAAGTTTTACTGGTAATATAGTTTTAAAACCCGCCAATTGGAGTGTACTTTCATGTGTGGAGTTCATGTCCAGGCCATCGGGGGTCACATAATTGACTTGACACTTGTATCGGCCCCCTGTCTCAGAATTTGCCCCAACGTTTGGGTTAATAGTAATTCTTAGCGTATTGTTGGCATCGGAATCCAACCTAACATTGTCGACACCACTTTGGGCTATGAAATATTCTGAATGTTCAGGGTAGTTTGTTATAGTTAGTTAAATTGTCCTTTATATTAGTGGCTAATAGTGTATAATTACTCTGATCTTTGTTGACATATCTATAGAAAAGTTTGTTGTCTTTATAAACTCGTCGATCAAAGAGAAAGTCTTTAGCTTTGAGGCGATAATCGCAATGAACGGACACGTCGTCACCTACTTTGTAAGTACCCCTCACCTGGTTGTACACGTAAAGTGTTGTTTGGATTGATCCTGAATAATTAAACAAATATAAAATGATTGTGTTTGATAAGGCAAATAACACTGTGTTTTACTCACTATCATCAGGCACAAAATCTCTGGATGACTGATTAAATCCAGGGACACCACCGGCAGAGAAGTATATGAGACAATCGAAGTCATTCGACACGGAAGCGCTTGATATGACATTCCTTACGTTACCGTATTTGGTGGTCGTGTTATATAGAGGGCTGTGCTCGATGACCCTGCTACTATCGATGACACTACTTTCATAGTGTTCCTCTATTAAAAATAAATTTATTAAAATAATTTGATCATGATAAAATGTAGATGTTATGTGATTACTTAGCGATCCGGAGTCAACGAAATAATAATATTTATTTTTGAGTCTCATTTCCATTCCTTGAAACTGTTGGTCGGAATCCAATTGGAAGTTACAGTTAAGGACCAAATCATTATTTCTATTGGATTGATCCAGGTACAGTGATTTCAATGATATGCATGTGCACAAAGTTAATACGTTTAACAGTAAAAGTAAAATAAATACTGAATTATATTTTTCCATTTTAAGTTCTGGTACTAAAAATTAAGATCTGCCCAACCGTTTAAATAGGTGTTTTATTACATGTTCTGTAGTTACTTAATACTAAACTGCTGTGAAATTACACAAACTATCCCGGAGTACTTATTTGTAAGATAATCTATATTGATATTTGTAATCTGACAATAATTTATTTATATTGAAAAATAAAGTATTTCAAATATTAAAAGAAATTTAATGTAATATAATATAATATTCTAAACATTAGAATTTCATTAGAATTGTATATAAAATGACCAGGTGTTTGTTTAGATAATAATGGATGGCACGTAAAATAATCTATCCAGGTAATACAGGATTAAAATATACTTAAAAATGTGTGCTGATGTACTGAATATTCTTTATATCGTAAATCAACACTTTATACCAAAATTAAACAAACATTTTATTATAAACATGATAATAAAATTAGAAAAATAATATCATAAAATTGTATATTTCAACATGATAATCAGATAGATATTGTAAACAATGAACTAATATACCATAATGATTATATTATTACAGAATTATTGTAAACATAAAAATGAAAAGTGTCTGGGTCAAGTTGTTATTTGAGTGCCTCTTCAAGTTTGTCGACTATCTCAGTGGCCATCATATCCATAGCACAGGGAGTGTCCACACTCTCGACCGCTATGTTATCATTCGCATCGGTATTCTGTGTAACATAAGTATTATTCAATAAAAATTAATAATCACATTGAGAGCACCTATACCTCAGAATCAGGCAAGAAATACATTTCCCTCGATTTCTCAATGAACACCTCCATGTCCTCAACCGAATCAAACTTAAACGGTTTAATCAAAACCAATTTACCGGTACTTTTAGCCCACTTCTTAGCGATCACCAGTTTTAGCTTATTTGACAACTTTTTCCTTTTATTGAGTCTATACTCGGAAAGCATACGAATTCGGGCTAACATTATGTGGAAGATCTCCTCCAGATCGGGAGCTACCAGTCCTTTGCCGCCAAAGTCGACCACCTCGTTGACAATGAGCTTGACTTTGGCGTTGATGTCCGGTTCCCGTTTCACTTCGCGGGCTATTTTATTCTTAAACGACTCCGGGATCTCACTGGACATCGTTGTCAGCATAAACTCGAGCACAAAGTCGTCGTTGAGCTGATCCTCGCAGAAGCGCTGTTGTCCGGTTCCCGTTTCACTTCGCGGGCTATTTTATTCTTAAACGACTCCGGGATCTCACTGGACATCGTTGTCAGCATAAACTCGAGCACAAAGTCGTCGTTGAGCTGATCCTCGCAGAAGCGCTGGTCGTTTATCACGTCAATGATCACCGCCTTATCTGCCAGTCCTTTACGCAACAGTTTGGAGCAAACGATAGCCGTATCGAAACAGCCCAACACGTCGTACCGGCCATTGGGGGACAGTTCTGCCAATAGGGTCTTGTAATGTCGGCTGATCTCCTTAAGAGTGGACAGTTTGCTCACATCTCGAGTCCAATTGAGTCCAATGAGCGGTCGGTTTAGTCGTTGTGCCAACTCTTCAAACATGGAAAAGTTTAGGCCCAGAGTCGGCAACACATACACCGGCTTTCCACTCGTCACGCCGTTCAGCCGTACGTACGGCTCCGACGGTATAATGAATTTGATTTTCAAGAGGCGACTCCGGGCCCGCTTGATGTCATCCAAGTGCCGCCTAATGTTGCTAATGTTGCCGCTCTCGTAGTCCTTCAGCATACCGATGGTGATTGACTTGACCTGATTGAGGGTGACCTTCATATTCCACTCCCTTTCCAACTCCTGCTGGAGTTCCACCGCAAACATGGACTCCAACCCGATCTCACCCAACGTCAAGTGGTTGGGAGTGGTCTCGGGGTCGATGCCCAGCGCCCGCCATAACTCGGCTACCATTCGCTTTTGCCGGTTACCCGACTCTTTCACTTGATCCACTTTGATCTAGATCATTTGTGTGATAAATATGTGGTTAAATGTATTAATTTTTGTGTAGTTTTCAATAAGGTTTATACATAAGAGGTAACAATCGGCTGTTTAATAGCCAATAGTTTGTCCAAAACATCGCAACACGAGTTGATCCGCTGTTTGCGCAGTGATGTCATTGTGAGCAACTGATCCGTGTCCGCAAACACACCCACATCCCCGATGGGTCCGTACTGTATGGCCAGTCCGTGCAGACCATCCCTCCGTCTTTGCTCGCAAATACGTTCACACATAGAGTTCCCGTACGAGTAGTTAGACTGACCTCCGTTTCCTTTGCCACACGTGACCGACGAGAAGACCACAAAGTAATCCAATTTGTGGTCTAATTGTCGCGTGAGTTGATCCAGATTTGCGAATATCTTGTGTTTCGTGTCAATAGATGAGCAAAACTTTTCAAACGTTAACTTCTCGAGCAAACAGTCGT